GTTGTGCATGTGCTGCTCATGTCTTTAAACCCTTCATGGTGTGTTTTATGTCCTCAGCAGTTGAACTAGTGAGTTGTATTTGTCTGTTTGGTTGTTTTTCTGGTCCTTGAACACCACCTGTCCTGCAGCAGCTGAGTCATTCTAGAGAAAAGGTGGAATCTGGGTGATACAAATCTGCTGAAATATATTCCTTCTAAACACATTTAAAACCTGTTGAATAGCAATAACTAACTCTTAACTTGATGAATCCACAACAAGCAGAGCTTAAATTATTTTTATTCTTTTTATACATTACATAGGAACGTCACTGGTGTTACGTGTTACCAGGGAGAAGAGTAACAGCAGTGACAATTTGGAGAAAACACTACCATTTTAACAAAATGGCTGCAATGTGTCAGACCAAATATAGCTCCAGTCAATATCAAAATCGTTTAACTCTTCAATACAATACATTTTCGCATTCAAATGTTCACCCCTAGGGCTATGCAATGAGTAACACTAATGACAGACTTGAAAGACGCACGTACAATTTGAAGATAAAATGACACCATTAACAAACAAAGTAAGAAGTATCTGACTTTCCTTATTTCTTTGTCCACTGCCTCAAATGATCTCTTGTTACAGGAGGCACTTCAGAGACAGTACATTCCTTCAAAATAAAAGCGTTTTGTGTAGCAGTAACACCAATGACGTATTTTGGGTGACTGACATTCATTTGATATTATTAATAATTAGCGTTCTTTTTTACCATTTCAGTGTTATATTTAATGTATGTAATGTTATGTAAATATGAATGAGATTTATTTATTGAAAAATAAATATTTTAAATGAAAACTATAGGCTCCACTTCCATGTATGATCAAAGTGAGAAGGCAGCTCCTTGAACTTTGCATTTTAAATAAATTGCAATTTATGTATAAAACCATTTTTTAAAAATTTATTTAGTACCATTGCAAAGACAATCTCTATTTATTCAACATATATAATGAATGTGAGTATTAGGTCATGTATTTTGGTGTCTGCAAAAGTAAGTGACAATACTTCCACCTTTTCTGTAGAATGACCCAGCTCTCTCCCAGCAGCAAACTTTACTCGACCTCTGACCTCTGAGTCATATTTCATCCTGACTGTCAGGTTTTATTCCCACTCTGTTTTGTCAGACGTGCAACAATGCACGGTGCAAATAAACCTCTCCGAGCTGTTGTTTTATGATATTATCATTATTATTTTTGTGTAATTGTTTATGCAAGTCAGTGTGTGTCGAAGGGCTGCGACTAATAACTATTTTCTTTAACCGGTTTATTTGCAGATTTCGGTTTTAAAATGAATTTTTTGTGTTTCAGAAAAAAAAGGTCTATCAAGTTTTTCCATTCCAGAAGTATCCTATAATACATGTTCATAGTAGTTTAGGTTGGTCTTTTACTATGAATACTAAATTATTCTGTGTATTTATAGAGTTTATTTGATAAGGATACTCTATAGATATATATCCCTCACTTTTGATATGAACATATTTACTGTTTATATTTATTTTAAAGCATTTTTGAATGCCTCGTTTACATGCTGCTGTGACAACATGTTTTCTAATGTAATGCATAGAAAAACAGGATATCTCTATATTTGAGGGGCTGAAAAACTGCATTTTCTGATTCTTTTGGCCAGAAAATCACATGTGTTTCTGTTGGACTAATTGTCGCCCCAATTGTGAAGCCATGTTCAGACTCCTTAGTCACGGAGGTCAGAGGTCGCGCCATTGCCTCTCAGTTCAGCGCAGATATGATCACCATCGAGCCGTCATGGCTATCCGCCGCGAGGACATCAACCCCTGGGAGAGGAGGGCGCCGCTCGCACCGAAACACGTCAAAGAGCTGACCAACGCCGGAGTCAAAGTGCTGCTGCAGCCGTCCAATCGGAGAGCAATACACGAGAAGGTGAGAATTATGATACTCTATCCGCGAGAAGGTGAGCAGAAACACGGAGGCAACGTCCTTTAAAATGACACCTGGTTCAGTCTGCTATATTACTCTGGAGTCAGGAGTATATAACTGACATGTACGCTTTATTATGCTTAAATCATTATAGAACATTGCAATATTATTACCATTAATTATTATTTATTTTAATATATTACACGTTTAGAAGGCAATGCAGGCTTATTTATATAGCACCTTTCAACACAAGGCAATTCAAAGTGCTTTACAAAAATAAAATGTCATCTACTTTGAGGAAATAGGTGATCTGTCGGCCTCCATTCTCCTTTTATATATCATTCCATTTGTTTTTAATTTCATTTAAATATTTATTTATGCTCTAACATTTCCCCCTGTGGATCAAATTATCACTTTTAGTTTATTTAATTGTCTTAAATGCAACTGTATATACGTTTGAGTGCTTCTTGGAGCTTGTTTTTTACCCTTTCTTTGTTTCCAGTACTACTTGAGGGCGGGTGCCGTGGTGCAGGAGGATCTTTCCGAGGCGTCTCTGATCATCGGGGTGAAACGACCCCCCGAGGAGAAGATTATCCCCAGGAAGACGTACGCTTTCTTCTCCCACACCATCAAAGCTCAGGAGGCCAACATGGGGCTGCTGGAGGACCTGCTGAGCAAGGTGAGGGTCTCCAAACATCCAGAAAAAGGGTCTCCAAACATCTAGAAAAGGGTCTCCAAACATCCAGAAAAAGGGTCTCCAAACATCCAGAACAAGGGTCTCCAAACATCTAGAAAAGGGTCTCCAAACATCCAGAAAAAGGGTCTCCAAACATCCAGAAAAGGGTCTCCAAACATCTAGAAAAGGGTCTCCAAACATCCAGAAAAGGGTCTCCAAACATCCAGAAAAAGGGTCTCCAAGCATCTAGAAAAAGGGTCTCCAAACATCCTGAAAAAGGGTCTCCAAGCATCTAGAAAAAGGGTCTCCAAACATCCAGAAAAAGGGTCTCCGAACATCTAGAACAAGGGTCTCCAAACATCCAGAAAAAGGGTCTCCTAACATCTAGAAAAAGGGTCTCCAAACATCCAGAAAAAGGGTCTCCAAACATCTAGAACAAGGGTCTCCAAACATCCAGAAAAAGGGTCTCCAAACATCTAGAACAAGGGTCTTCGAAAATCTAGAAAAAGGGTCTCCAAGCATCCAGAAAAAGGGTCTCCAAACATCTAGAAAAAGGGTCTCTGAACATCTAGAAAAGGGTCTCCAAACATCCAGAAAAAGGGTCTCAAACATCCAGAAAAAGGGTCTCCAAGCATCCAGAAAAGGGTCTCCAAGCATCTAGAAAAGGGTCTCCAAACATCCAGAAAAAGGGTCTCCAAGCATCTAGAAAAAGGGTCTCCAACATCCAGAAAAAGGGTCTCAACATCAGAAAAAGGAAAGGGCCCAAACATCAGAAAAAGGGCTCAAACATCCAAAAAAGGGTCTCCGAACATCTAGAAAAAGGGCTCCAAACATCCACAACATCCGAAAAGTCCCAACAGAACACAAGGGTCTCCGAACA